ATGTACGTTAAAGTAACTATTACTTCTTAATGGTATAGAACGTTCTTCAGAAACAATTACATTCAGGTATTTGCCTATTCGAATACACTGAAGATCAATTAAAAATTAGAACACATGTTCAAATAGTGTGTTCGCTTCGAAGCAACCATTTGTCATTGATAATATTATTCAGCAACACTCGATCAAGGAAAACTTCATAACAAACAATTATTCAAATATTCTGTTCAATTCGAAGCAAACATCTGTAATTCATTATATCGATGAGGAACAATCGATCAAGGAACAATCATACCAAACAACTATTTACATATTTTGTTCGATTTGAACCAACGTTTGGTGTTTATTACATCGTCGAGGAACACTCGATCAACGGGCAATTCATAAAAAACAACAACTCTAGTGAAAGTATTGAGTTCAGGGTACCTATGTACTGAGAAAGTCTCAGCAAAGTACCTGACGTGAGTACTTAGAAAATTCTGAGTAATTATACTGACGTAGATACATACTTGGGTACCCATACCAGTATGTTTACTGAGTAAGTACTTGTGTGGGTATCCTCATCAGTAGTTTTACTGAGGAAAGCTCAACAGGGTATCCTAATTTTCTTTAAGTAACGCGTACATTAAAAAAATACATCAATGCACTTGAGCAAAAAATTGATATTATAGATTTCAAATCACTCAGTACAGTGCACATGAATGTTTTCAAACTTCTTTTTTGCTCTTTTACACGACAAATAAATAAATCAAAGTGTTAGAGGTAATTTAATGGTAATTGGTGAATTTTTCTTATAGGAGGCAATTAGTGTGTATAAACAGAGAAATGATCAACTATTCAGTTTAGAACTTCGTTGGATGAAAGAAGAATGAAATTTCAAAAGTTTATAGATGGGAATTAATGCAATTCAATCGTATCAAGAAATAAAGTATTTTATCAATTTTTTTCTTGACAGATATATTTTAATTTTTGACTACTTTTTCTAGTTGTTCTGATTAAGTGATCAAATTTTGAATTTATTTCTGAGCGCTTCTAATGGTTATTGAAAAAGTTTCAGTTTTCATTGCTATGTAAGATTTTTTTATCTATTTCGTACTGTCTCACTTTTTATTATACAGAGATGAACTCAAACTGAATGCTTTATTTTACCGACCAACAACATTCTGATTAAAACTTGAAATTATTATTATTTTCTGTTAAATACATGTTATAAATTATTTTGTCTTTATTATTAAATTTTTTCAAACTTGTAATACCATAGATGTAATTTTTTATTCTTTTAATAAACATTTATTTTATTTTCCAGATTATATTAAATCTTTTTTTTTCATTTTATATCATCTGCATGCCTCAAAATTACAGTATCACTTTTATTCCAATATAAATGTTTTGTATTAATTCCGAAACAAGTGAAATTATTGATTTTCTTTATATAAAGAATATCGGATAATAAATCATCAGATATATATTTTTGAGAAATATTATGCTGGAACAACCAAATGTGAAAAACAATCAAAGGTCCGGTTCAATCCTGAACATACTGAGATTTTGGTAACAGGGTACCTAGAAATACTATGCAATAGTACTCAATTGAGTATCTGATCAGTACCTTCAAGTACCTATTTACTAAACATTTTGTAGAAGGATATCGGTCAAAGTACCATATAAGTACTTAAAAGTACCTAAAAGTACTTTAGTACCCAAAAGTTCCTGTGACATACTGGTAACAGGATACTTTTTCGGGTACCATTAACTCAGTGCATTCTCTAGGGAATTCACATACTTTGTTCAATTTGAAGCACAGATTTAAAATTGATTACGTCATCGAGGAACCTTCGATCAAAGCATAACTCATACTAAATAACTGTTCAAATATTTTTTTGAATTCGAAGAAAAGACTTAGAGTCGACTACATTATCGAGGAATCCTCGATCAACGGATAATTCATACTGAACAACTATTCCAATATTTTGTTAAATTCGAAGCAAAGATTTACAGTTGATTAGGGGTGTGGTTATGGATGTGAATGTGAGCGACAAGACGACCACCACTTATACCCACAGCCGCATCCACATCCCACATTCATATCCACATCTACACCCACACACCAACACTCCTCTGTCAGTGGTAAAAATATCAGCCCATTTGGTCAAAATATGACGGAGATGTTCAAATTTTTCTTTGACTAACGGCTTACGGAACACCTTATATATTAACTAATTTGAAATCAAGATTTTTTTAATTAAGTATTATATCCTTCTATTCTATCTGGGAAAAGCTTTCGGAAGTGCGTAAGTTATAGTGTGGATGTGGATATATCGATGTGAGTGCAGATGTGTCGATGTGAGTGCAGGTGTGGATGTGAGGTATGGAAGAGTTATTCATTCATATCTCACAGCAACACACCAATTTGAAATTTGGAGAAGATTTCGACACATCTAAATTGGATTGTTCGTGTTGTCATGTCCAAATTAAATTTGATTCTTCTTCGATTAAACATGTACAATTAATCTTAGAGAGATCTGTTTTTCTTTAAATCTCGAATGATTCAATCGAAAATTCGTCGAAGTTATTTTATTTGACCAAGTTGTTTTTTCGCTTCGAATAATAATCGATCGATAACAAGAAAGCTAAATAAAGAACAAGAGGAAAACAGAAATTCTGAGATCAAATCAGAAATGATTGATCAATTCTTTGCTCTGTGTTCAACATAAATCAGTTTTTATTGATTTCGAAGAGAAATTTCTTTTCAATATTCAACATGAAAGAAGATTTTCGTCAATCTTTCGTTTGAATTCGATCATCATTCAAGATTTCTGTTTAATATCGATCGATTATTTCGAGATATCTCAATAATGACAAGGAATCAAATCGAACTTTTTCGAATCGACGGAAATATCTTCAATAACAATCGAATTGAGAATGATTTTTTATAAAAAAAAAGAACAAACGTCTCGATTAAGGTGTGGGTGTGGGTGTGGGTATGGATGTGAATCTTCTCTTCATCCCAATCAAAACATACGCACTCACACTTACACCCACACCCCATAACGTATAACAAAATGAGTCTGAAAGACAACGAAGTTATTTGAGAGATCATTCTGTTCGATTTTCTTTTCTTGGTAACTCATTGACGACTATATTTGTTTGACCATTGTTAATCTTGGGATTCGATTGGTTTACTATCTTCATCAGCAAAAAGAAGTTATACTATCAAGAACAGGGAATATGATTGATAGTTATGTCTAAATAAACTATAGAAAAGCAAAATAAAGGCTAATCATGCATATCAAATATATTTGGTTTCGTTCTTTTTTCATCTACACCCAAACGAAAAGAAAAATTTTGTGAATGATGTATTCTTTGTGCAAGAACGAATGTCAAGAACAAGTCATTCTATCCTGATGAAGAATGTTATTATTATCAAATACAGTAAGAATCAAACGCACTACTATGATATCAATTAATTTCTTTGCTGTATGCCATACACAGAGTTACTGACAAATACTTGAACGAGACCGTTTGTTGGTCATGTAGTCAATTTATTCTTTTCATTACGTGAAAAGCAGTAAGCCTTCATTTATGAATTCAAATCAAATAATATTTTTCGCGACACTGATTTTGCAGTCATCGTATTTTCCGATGACCCACACTCTCTAGGTCAGATTCAATCGACCAAGTCTCTTGTAAATATGTCGATAAAATATTTTCCGGCTTCAATATACATTACGCTGTACTTCACATGATTTATACGTGTGACACCATCCGATCCAATTTTGTTATTCTGCTTGTTGATAACTGATTATTTTCTTTAGGTCAGTATGATAAAACCATACTATCACTATTTATTTTATGTATTTTTAGTTTATAAGGAGAGAAGCAGTAACTTACGGATAAAATACGTTCTTAGAATAAACGTTTCTGGAATTTCGATGTAACGCGAAAATAATTTTATCCATACAAAAACGATCACAAGTCAAAAGGAACCTTTTATCAATTTAAAGGAAAAGCTATTCGGTTAAATAAATCCGAACGAAAATATGTCTTTCTCTTCCCATATTTCTATATTTCTCTCCACATTTTTACTGTTGCCATTTTCACTCATGCTTTTTAATAGATGACAAGATAAATGAGTATTTGTCTTTGTTGTATAATGCACTCTTGATTAGATTTGTTGCTTGTTTTTTTTCCAGCTAACGGTTTTTTTTGTTGTCTGGTTGTTTAATGTATACATGGCAAAATAAATTCAAATGCTAAGTAAAAGAATATGTTGGAATGTAAGCTAAAATACTATATGTGTTCACAGTTGATATTCTCCAGTAGAAGCAAAAACTGCTTGTGCACCTTATTATTGCGTTGCAGAGAAAGATAACAGAATATTTTTCTTCCCACTATGACTCAGTTGTAACATTATGTGTTTTTTTGTCTTTTGACGTTATCTGGATCACAACTGAAATGAGTCACAAAACCAATCTCACCACATTTTTTCCCACTGACTGTTTTCTCTTATGTTATATTTAACATGCTCGAAAATAATTTAACATTTCAATATTTACAACAATCTACGATAGCTGCATTTTCGTTATATACGTGTTTTGATTTTTGTTAACAAGTTAAATAATTGATAACAACGTTCAACTATAAATAATACCTTTTTCAGGTGAGACATAACAACCAATACAATGGATATTACTAATGAAGTATTAGTCCAATCAATGATAGAAAATGAACAGATGTAGCATGATGGTGTCAATGCATATATTGAAGAAATCAGTCAAGGACTTTTACGAAATGACAGCTGGGAATCATTTAAAGCAGATGAAATAGCTGAAGCATCACTTCATGTTCCTGTTAAGAAAACCAATTCTTCTAATGAGGATGAACAAACTCATCGTTTCCGACAATTTTTATCCATTGCAACTAACTTTTCCTCATTACCATTTGCTGAAAAACTGCATAAAATTCCAGAATTGGTAGAAAGCATTAAACAATTACTTGAAAACATGATGAAAGAAGTTCAAGAATACAGCGATATGGCAAATGAACTTCGTGATCTTATTCAATGTTTTGTTCGGATGGTAATGCAAGCAAAACATAATGTAAATATGATGCTTCCCCTACTCACAGCTGCGAAATCACAAATGACAATTGTTCAAGATGTTATGGGTACAGATCCAACTCAGGCACTTAACGAAATCGATAAAATAGACATTCAACTTGCATTGAATCGAATGTCAACTGGAATACAAAACTTGCTCAGTTTAGCTAAGTCGTCAACAGTTGAAAGTCAAAAACTAGACGAGCGAATACACAGTATGACTAATACGGTTCAATCAAAAAAAAATGGTTGTAGAGGAACGATTGGAAATTGTAGGCTTTTGTTTTAAATATGCCATGCCAGTGGGTTCACTCGCACCGGGAGCTGCAATCGGAGGGTGTGTTGCAGCCGAAACGTTTGGTGGTGTCGGTGCATTAGTGATTGCAGGAACAGCTTTTCCGCCTGTAACTGCTATCATCGGTGCATGTATTTTAGGTGGACTGTGCGCTGGAACTGCTATTCTTTTGGTAAAAGAATTTTGGGGTCGCCATCAGCTGAAGGCACTTAGCTATTTGGATCAAATATTTGAAGGTTTAGTTCAATTAAATTCAGCAAATATGAATTTTATGCGTTACATGACGGATACTGAAGAAAAAGCAAATACGGTTTCACAACATATTCAAGACATTCAATTATGTTTAGAGAGTGAAAGACAACGGCGAGCAAATCATGATGTCTGCACTGTAGCTATAGATTCAACAACTGCAATGATAGAAAGTTTGAAACAAATATCTAATATTGATATATCAAAATGGACCGATACCTCGAATACAATTAGTTTTTCGAAGAAAAAGTTCATAGCAAATGCTATTACAAACTAATCAAGAAAATTATAAAACCAAAACATTTATCTATATAATACTATCTTATTCAATTATTTACGAATTTTTCACCTTCTTTGTCAACTTGAAAATTTTATTTTTATAGGAAAAAATATGGTTATTTTGATGATTGAGTTTTTCTGAATAAAATGTCAAATATGTTCTTTTATGAGCTCCATATGCGGTAAGAGACGATGAGCTAGTTTGAATGTACCTGAACTCATTTCTTGTTTCATTCATAAAAAGAACAGGAGAAATTCTGTCGTCTTTCTATTTTGAGTATACTTCTATAAATAATTGACCTTGTCGTTTTATTTTTCAACATCTATATTATCTATCAAAGACGGTTGATAAGGCAAAAGTGATAATAATTTTTCGTATACGATTGCCTTCAGTTACTCAATAAAATTGGCTATAAATGCCAAGACAAAATCTCGCACTTCGACTTAACAATGATTTAATCAAGTATAGAGTTTTAGAACAGAAATCTTTTTGAATAACATCGATTATATCGAGAATTTAATTGAATGAATATCGTATCGGAATTTCAAATTGCTGTAAGTAGGCTGGTAGAGTTTCCGCAGCAGTTATCGATTTCCTAGAAAGTCGAGATATCGTGCACTTTCCCTGGAAAATTGCTAACTCCCGCAATTTTTGTGTTGCCTATTTTATACGGTAAATTTTTATAGATACGTAAGATTGCAAGAGGAAGTCACTTTTTTCAATGGGAACTCGCTATATCATTCAGAGGAAATCGCTAACTTCCACGGAGCGTTGCTATTTATCTTCTATAAGAATTTTTCTGGGATACCAATGTTTCAAGAGGGAATTACTTCGAGAGACTAGAAATGATCAAGCAGTGTTGATAGTGATAGATACAAGCGATGTGTCAATAGACGGTTCGAAATATTTTACAATACTACGGGTGGATGTCAGTCGTGTGAATTGTTTCTTTTTAGTTTTTGAAATCGATTCTTTCAGCATTGTTCGATGGTATCAATTGATTTTACTACTTTGACTCCCTATCGGTTGCGGCACATAGTAATACTAGTTAGATAATGACATGAACTAATGAATAAAACTCCAAACTAGAATATGTAGTTAATTATTTGTGCAATGCAATGCAAGATATTCATGATAATACTTAATCAAATGTATAATTCTAGAGATAGTACCTATTTCTCGACTAAATATGTACATTTATTTTTATCTTCTCGTTCAAATAAAGATCAAGATAACGATATAATCTTTATCTTTGAAAAATTCAGGTGTATAAAAGAATAAACTAGCTTGTCTTTTATAATATTGACCGAGAACAACTTTCATCTCTTGCATCAACTGCACTACAATACCTAATATTACTAAAGAACTAAAAAATTATAATTTGAAAAAATAAAAAAAAAAGGAATCACATGTGACTATTTTGTTCTATATCTATATCATCTCACTATATTTGATGAATTAGAAAAAAGAAAATGTTATGAAAATCAAAGAGTCCCATATCGTTATTAAAAAGTAATTGAAGTCAATGATGGATGGATGAAAATGAAAATAACTACAGTTATCATATCGGTAACGATTCGAAAAATTGTTATTGATCTGAGTTTTAACAGAACTAAGTAAGTACGATTCGAAGATGTTGAAGAGTAGAATCCCATCAAGGCATGATATATGTTTGAAGGAATACTCAAAACAAATACTTAAGACGTATTTAGATTAATTAGAAAAGATAATAAATGCTTTTCAAAAAGTTTTGTTGGCTTGTCAATTTACTTGAAAAACGTTGAAAAGAATGATTTAATCCTTGATGTTGTTGACAATATCTGTCCATAGCTAGTGTATTTTTAAATCGACAACATTCCATATCATAAAGTTCATCGAATTACAATCGTATTACATTATAATATCTTCTATAGTGTACATGTCCCTATAAAAGATAAATTTTTTTTTTGCTTTATTTTTCAAAGTAAGACAAAATTAACAGTCCCATTCTCAACCCTCTGTCTTACTATATTATTCTTCCAATATTCTTCATAACTCTTAGATTAATATACATATTCTTGAAAATCATAACCCTCTTGATCTACGATACCTTTCTAACATGTTTCCTAGTGCTCAGATTAATAATCATATATTAGTGCGAGTCTCGTAGCACAATTCTGACGTTAATGAGTTGTAGCAATACATTAATGGCTTATGTCATTGGATATAATGCATCATCTACTGTCTCCATTAAACACGATGATAACGATGAAGCATATGACGTTGACCTTATCCAACGATCAATTAAAATGAAATCTACAATGCATGAGAAAACAGATTTTTAACAAATTTTATCTAGATTCTTATTTTATGAGAAGATGTTTGAAATGTATAAAATTCAAATAATTAATAAATTATATTTATTCTTATTTCTCTCAATAAAAACAAAAAACAAATTCTGTATATAAAATATTGGTTGTGATGTAAACAACTATATTGTGGTAAATGTATTAATGATTATATTTAGCTTTAAGTCTTATACATATCTTAATTGAGTAAATGGGATGTGAAGTAAATAGGCAAGATAGTATTAAAACAAAAAAAACCAGATGTATTGTATAAGTGATGTTATAAAAGAATGTTGAACATAATCTATAATAGTATTGGTTTGCATCATATCAACATTTATGATGATATTAAACATATTCACTGATCAATACATAATCATTTCATTTTTATGACCACACATAAAAATTACTGAAATAGTTCTTAAATATCAATGAATATACTATTAAATTAGAATGTTCATGACTAGAGATATTCAATGTGACTATAAATCGATTCTAATTTATTTCATAAAACAATAAGGTATTTTCAAAAAGTTATCAAAACAATCTGTATTTTAATAGTTTATTAGAAGTATACAAGTAGGAAAATAGTGTTTAAATATTCTATACATATGTTTTTTTTTTAAATAGCAAAGTTAACTAAGATGTTCGTTAGCAAAAGTAGTTGATATTTGCTTAAATTCATTAAATAACTTCAAGATACTAGCGCCCACTATTGCGTAAAATAGTGGCATCAGTTTTATATTTTAATTGTTGTTTTAATCCTGTTTATAGATGATTATTAATTTAATTCGTCATATTGTTTAATAATCATCGTTAATTTTCTATATGATAATAATTATTATCACTACAAATACTTACAGTTTATCCAATACATCATACTATAGTAAATAAATAAACAATCATATCAAGATTTATGCATTCATAAATCATACTTGAATATTCTCTTTATGAATGAAATTCAATCAATATTGAAGATTAGTCTTTTTTTTTATTCTTCAAATGAATAATAATTTTTTATTTCATGTAAATCATAATCAATTAATATCAAAATCTTTTTCTTTTTTTCCTTTGATCTCAACATAAGTTGCTAAGGTTATTTTTCATTTGAAAAAAATAAAATAAAAGACATGACTCGATCTCAATCATTTATAGATGTACTAAGTACAAATTTGGCTTATCTATTTCATCGTTATTTATTTGTTAAAAATAAACAAACATGTTCACATAAATTATCTTTAAATAAAAATTTAAATTCAATAAATTTAGTGAAAAAAGTTCGTATTAATATAAATAAATATGGTCATTTATTAAATTCAAAATTTTCTCAACAAATAAATAATAATAAATTAATAAATAAAGATATTCCATTAGAGAAAAAGGCAGAGTAAGTAGAAAAATTTCTATTCATATTTAATATTTCATATAATTTTATTTTAGAAAAATTAAAAAAATGAATAAGAAACATAATCAAAGAAAAACGAAAAATAGAAAGATCAAGTAAGTATAATGTTTTGCAAAAAAAACAGAATGTCTAGAATATTAATCAGATAATAACACGTATAAATGTTAATCAAATATTTATTTATTTTCGCTCATGTTTAAAATTTCAAGTTAAATAAATGCAAAAAAAATATGTCTCGATGTTATTTGTTAGTGACTTATGACTAAAGAAAGATAATGTAAAAATTTAAATCTTTTCAATTACAATAAGAGAATTTTGACGAAATAATCCAAAATTTTGTTAGATGAATTGAATCGAATACTACTATGCACTTGTTTCAATACACAGTTGAATACAATAGTTCGAATGATGTAACTATCTATGAATTTGATTCTTTCAACGAGAAATTAAGCAGTCTAATAGATAATAATGAATTTAATGTTCGAATTATTTCTATAAAATTTCGAATACTTAAGTATATAAGTGTTGTCTGAAAATAAAAATCTAGGTCTTTTTTACGTAGAGGAAAAAAAAGGCGTTAGATCGATGCAAATGTTAATAGGATTCAATTGAAACGATAATAAATCTGATAAACTAGAATATAGAAATGAAACTTTCTTTGATAGTCACTTTTTATAAACAATATCTTCATAACTTCTCTGGTTTTTTCTTTTTTGAAAGACTATCGTATTTTTCTTATCCTAGTAAATTTATGCAAATCTGAAAATTCCGAATGAAATTCTTAGTCTATCAATCATAAAAACATAATTATAAACATGATTTTATTTTGAATATTAGATCGAAAAAAATGAAGATACAACAAGAAAATATGATTCCTGTACAATCCAGTGTACCAAGAATAGACTATCATCAATCATCTATGGTAAGATGAGACTTGGTTTTTTTTGTCTATTTACAAAAAGATTAACTTATTTTCATCGATCTTACAGATTAGTCGTATGTTATCTTCTACTTCATCAGTATTATCTGATATACAAATTTTTCAACAAAATAATCATTCAATTGATTCTACTTTATATATATCAGATCAATGTCGAGGAAAAATGCAATTTCTATATAATATGAGTCCAATAGTGAATAAAAATTATATTAATACACAACATTTATTAAATGAATTAGATTTAAGAAAAAGTCGTCAACATAAAAAAATGCATGAATATTCTAAAAATTTAAAACCTGAACAACTTTTTCGTTGTCCAAAAGAT